CATGGCCCATAGAAATAGTTGATTTACCCATTAATAGCATGGTGGATCTTTCCATAGTTATGTAAGCGTTTGTTTACCAGGCCGGGTAGACCATGGTGATAAAACATGATAAAAAAAAACACCATTGCCCAGTCGAAATAGATGGTTTACCTATTATTTTAATGGTGGATCTTTCCATGACAAACTGTGAATGTCATAACCAGGCCATTTATAGATGGTTTACCTATTAAAAATGGTGATTTTCCATGGCAAACTGGCAATGTCATAACCAGGCCGGGTAGACCATCCCATTGGGCCCTTGGGCCCGCCCTGAGGGGCAACTGCTCAGGTGGCAGTGAGGTGCCCCGAGTTACGCGCCAACTGGTTGGGCACGTGTTTCGCACAACCGGCGATCGATGGTCCATTTCTACAGGGTTTGCCTGTTTGTATTTTGTTGTAAATATAATAAGTATATACCCTCTGGTTATTTAACATAGCCATGGTATAGATGGCCCATTTATAGATGGTTTACCTATTACAAATGGTGATTTTCCATGGCTATGTTAAATAACCAGATGGTACATATATATATATATTTAATTATTTATATTTATACCATAGCTGACCATGGCTATGTAACATTACTCAAGGGTAGATTCTTTTGACCTCTGTGGTTCCCAGTGCCTCTGATTCTCACCCACAGCAATATTTAGCAATCACTTAGCACTGGCAACGGCAAAATGTAGTCTCGAATAGTAGCAGCTCCCGTCTATGTCCAGTTCTCCAAAGCCAATGATATCCAAGAACCACCCGGATTCAAACATGGCTGGAGCCAACCTCAATCGAGCTGATCATGGTTTTGGCACTTCTTAGGAACTCCAGCCAATGCATTATGTGGCATTATGATCAACCCCAAATCTTTCCGGGGCAACGTTTGATAATCAAACATTGCCCAAAGGCGACAGACATGTCCAATAGGGAATCATCAAATCACTGCATACCATACCACCTGTATAAGCACCTATTAAACCTATTAAGAATGTGCACGATATATCATATCCCAGAAGCATTGACCTGGCCGAATTACTAAAAAATCACAATAATTCACTGAGCTGAAACTAGCTGAAATGATGCCATTTGGGGATGATTCCCCTTACTAATCATCATTCCAGTGACGTCACGACATGTCACTTCTGAGGTCATGATCAATTTTATCCAGATTATATCACCTCTCTCTATCCGATTATACTACCATTGTTGTTGATTAAACTTTCATTAAGTCCATTGGATTCCCATTACCCTCTGGCAATTTATATAACACTTTGCGACATAGAACATGGCCCATAGAAATAGTTGATTTACCCATTAATAGCATGGTGATGCATGGTGGATCTTTCCATAGTTATGTAAACGTTTGTTTACCAGGCCGGGTAGACCATGGTGATTTAACCACCATGGCCCAGTCGAAATAGATGGTTTACCTATTAAAAATGGTGATTTTCGATGGCAAACTGGCAATGTCATAACCAGATGGTAGACCATGGTGATTTCGCCATAAAACCACCAGCCAGTTCGGGATGAGCCAGGTCCAGCCGGCAGCTGCGCCAGCCGCGCCACGCCAAAGGATTGCTTTGCGAAGCTCGGGGCTTCCCGGTGATTTCCAGAAAAAAGGAAGACTTACCATCTGGTTATGACTAACAGTTTGCCATGGAAAATCACCATTTTTAATAAGTAAACCATCTATTTCTATGGCCATGGTGGTTACATCATCACGGTCTACCCTCTGGTAAACATACAAAAAACTATGGAACATCACCATGCTATTAATGCGAAAATCCACTATAAATGGCCATTTTCCATAGCTTTTTGTATGTTTACCAAAGGGTACTTATGGCAGAAGTATGGATACTTCCCAGCCTTTTCTATCCTTTGGCATCCTGCAGCTCCAGCTGCCAAAAAAAAGGCTGGCTGAACTGTTGAAGTTCGGCGTCGGCGCTCCCGAATCAGGAGCCAGGCATCCCAGGGCATCCCGAGAAATCTCGTTTTTTCCAATTGCTCAGCTGAGTGCCCCTGATTTGTACCAGATGTTATCATATGTTATGATATGTTATCATATGTTATCATATGTTACCATGCATAAGTTTGGTTCTACATCCTTGAATCCCAGTCAAAGGCCGAGCTTAAGGGCTTACACTAGGGCATGCAACCCGCAAAATCATGCAAAATCATGCAAAATAGCCAGATGATGCTAGATGTTTGATGCACAGGCAAGCCTTGGCTTGGTAATTCCTGGTGAGGACTTGGGGCTGATAGGATCCAAACATGGTCTCATCATGTCCACTCCCCCGAGAATCTCTTCAAGGTACCATTGCCAATATGAGTATTGCATAAAACTTGCATCCTAGTCATCCTATCTTGATCAAACGTTGCTATAAAGGACATCTGCCACTCATGTGGAAAGTTTGAGTGCCTCATGACTATAGTACATTTTGCATGGCTTTCCTCATGGCTTTCCTGATTCGTCTCTTCAACGCGGCGTCAAAACCCGCCGACTCAGTCGAGCGGGCTCGTCTTGTGTGCTTGAAATTCAGAGTCGGCCTGCGGTGAAGACGGCGTGAACTAGGGAGGGGCTTGCAACTTAAAAATCTGGGAATTGGGCATCACTTTGATCATTTTGACACAAATATATACATAAATTCATCTCAATTTATCCATGACATCACAAGTTGAAGTGCATGGGGTTCCTTTTTTCAGAGGTAGCCATTCCATGGGACTTTGTAAATCAGTCGCTGTTGATTCATGGGACCATGGTTTTTTTGGGGCACTGCATTTTAAGTTGACCTCGGATCACGCAGTCACGCCAGTAACATGTTTCCATCACACTTCTTTTTGTCAAAGATTACATCTACTAATCTGTTGTCTACTACATGACTACATGTACTAACATATGGACACATACATATGTGTATATATATATTATTATCATTATTAATTATCATTATTATTATTACTATTATTATTATATATAATGTGTGCGTCATATCATATACATGCAGATACAAATGCAATTTATATCCATTTATTGCATTTAAAGTGGTCATCAAAACGATAGCGAAAGCAGCCCACTGCCTGGGCTCTGCAAGGCACCTGGCATGGCACAGTCTTGATTGCAGTATCACTTAGATCAATAGACCAATACTACATATATACATATATATATATAATCATATATATATAATGTATCTAGTCTTGGTCTATTGATATATGTGTTTTTTTTGTTTCTCTCTCTCGCCCCATAGCCATCACTATAAACAAAACAACATGTTATAGACTATTTGTATAGACCATTTGTTGATGGATTAATCACTCTTCCGGGATCTTTTGGGTCATAGATCAATAGGGGGAAAGGGTTGCTGTATCACTTGCAACGCAAATAGTGACAGTGGCTCTATGAGCAGGTGATTGACAACTATAAACTAGTTACAGTATGGCTATGGATGGATATTTGTCAAAAGTATCATCAATGTGGGAGGGTTCTTAATTTTGACTCATACCCATACCCCTGCACCGAGCGTGAACGGGGTTATAATCCAAATATACCAGACTTATAAATCCAAATAATACACACGTGTATGTATATATATATATATATACATATATTATATATGTATATATACTAGTAATTGAAATTGACTTGAAGCGTCAACGTGTTATCTTCCATTACATTCCGAGTTTTGCTGGCAAGACTCACCCGATCTCACCCGATGGATTCTCCATGTTGACTTCATGCCACCTGAAAGCCCAACACAAAACAGGCTCCTCCCCAGCTACAGCGGCAATTCTGGGGCGATTTGTTTTATTCTCAAAGATGTTTCTTTGCAGCGTTGGCGCATGTCTTTGAGGAGATGTCTTCATTGAGACTGGTTCGGAAAAACCCTCGACGACTCAACGTGCTCCTTCTTCGCGCTGCCAAAACTGCCCTACCCCTACTGGAGTTGCCACACTCGCTGCCTTAAAGCAAAGACCTGATGGTCCAAAACTTTCCTAAAACTACTGTTGCAGCGGCTTCTGCCACTGAGGGAGTTTTTTCCCTGTGCTCTGTGGCCGACGAAAACTTATGCCTCTGGCCACCAAAAAATATGGATTAAATCCCACACCAGCCACACGACATGGCCTGCAGGGAACATGCTCAAAAGACAACACAAGTCAGGATCAGAATCGTAAATGCTCAACTCACAAACCGTATATTTACAATGATTCATTGGATGGCCTCGCATATATTTTTTATTTATGGATCTCGACGGGCAATGTTTGCAGTACGGCCGACTTGTTTTTGTCCCAGAGTGTGGGGCATGCAGCGGCGGCGAGCGGGCAACTCTGATGTACAGCTGCAGTTGTGCTGTAGGTGGCGGAAATCCTGCATTCAAGATGGCACCTTCGAAATAATGTTTTTGATAGTGCGAGGAGACATCACCAACCATCACTATTTTCCAAAGCGGTTGCCTGGCCTTTTCTTCTATGTTCAGGGGTGATGAAGGTTGCACACCTATACTATACACATGCAAATGCACACACACACACATATATATTATATATATATATACACATGGTAATATACAAATAATAACGATAATGTTAATGATAATAATAATGCTAATAATTAATAATGATAAACATAATATAATAACAATAATAATAATATACAGTATACACTATATATATACACATACAGTACATATAATATAGTTACATCCTCAGTTTGTTTGCCAAACCATGCTCACATGTGCCTGGTTGGTCGTTTCAACCCACCTGAAAAATAGGAAGGTCATTGAGTATCATCATCCCAATTTTATGGTTGAAAGCATACATGAACATACAAACATGTTGAACAAATGACAACTAATATATATATATATATATATAATTGGAACCACCAAATAGTTGCTGACCGACATCTTTGTATTCTATGACATGAAGCCTGAAGCAGCCTTGTTTTTGTTTTTTCCTCAGGAGATGTTTTACCATCGCGCCATGATGCGGGACTTCCGGCACTCAAGTCGTGGTGCGTCCGTTCCGACACCTTGGTTTTCGAGGAGCCATAGGTAGTTGGCGCTGGGTTGGAGAGGTTAAGCTTTCGGACTCAGGGACACATTCTGTGGACCAGCCTCTGATAGAGTATATAAATACAATACAACTTGCCCAGCTTACCCAAACTAAAGGAACTAAAGGAACACCTTCCACTAGATCCACTAGTCACTAATCTAGAAAACAAAAGCCAGCTCCTGCCCATGAATGGCCTCCCACCCCAGTGTGCACTTCATTGCATCTTTTTTTGCATCCATGCGGCAGAAACTAGCGGTTCGTCGTGGAACCAATGATCATAAAGGCTTGATTCACGCCAATGTATGGCATCACCAAGGTCAAGAAGGGCATCAGCACAAACCAGGCCGGGCCCAGCCACTTCATAACGCCTGTCACCTGAAACGGATCGGCCAGGATACCTAGGAATCCAATGGAATCCAAATATCTAACCCAGCTTTAGGAAGTGAAATCTTTCAGATTTGCGAATTCATTGAATTCAATGATTCAATGCAAAATGGAGGAGACGTTTCAGTACAAATGTCTTTCAACAAAACTGGATGTTATAGTGCAACTAGTGCTTGGAGTGATTCAAGTGGGTGTTTTCCACATACAAGGTCCCACGCAAATAGTTTGCCTTTCGCATGCAACTCAATTGCCCAAAGTTAAGCTCAACCCTGCATGGAATAAGCCAACCCATTGGACTCTTTCTGGATTTTGGGGGTCCATCTCGCACTCTCTAATTATTAGACTCTAAATGATCAATCAGGGTTAGGTTTATACTCTATATGAATCTGGGGTTGGAAACATAACTGTCTCATCTAGCGGTATCTGGCTTGTGACTTTTTTGGGGGTTCCTGTTGATCTCTGTTTAGTTTGGGATGATTCCCCTTACCAACTACCATTTGTAGTGAGGTCTTTGCAAGGTTGCAAGAAATTATCTAGATACACCATGGCTGATGTCAGATACGGAGTTTTAACAGTAATGTCAATAAAATGGTTGGTAACTGTAATGGCAAAGCCCATGACCCTTTCACCATCATTCGCCCAGTGACAGTTTGGTTCAAGATCAACCTGCCGATCATGATCTCCCACCATCCTCGCGTTACTAAGGCCTGGCTCCATGTGAGCTGCGCGGCTTTTTCTGGTGTCATCTTAGTGCGACCCACCCAGAGGTAGGTGCAGGGATGAAGCACATCCTTAGATGTTCATGGCAATGGGTGAACAATTCACTGCATAAAAGAGTAAAACAGAACCTTCTTGGCATTGGCCAGTTCTCTTAACTCTTTGGGAAGCAATCGAAGCCCATTTTTGTTGAGAGATTCACCATTGGGTATGTGTTTACCACATTACCACACTGACTTGGGTTCTGGACCATGCCGGGCGTCCAGAGCAATCAGCGTGACGATGATCACGGCAGATAAAACACCTGAACTTTCACAAGGTTTGGACAGCCGAGAGTCAGGCTGAAAAAAACAACACACATAAACAATGACTCAGTAGTCCTGAAAAACATGGATGGTTTGCAAAACTAGTCTTCTGACAAGAATTTGGAGCAGTCTTCATTGCAAAGTTGGGTCACCAATGCGGTCAACGCCAGGGATGTCAAGTATTACGTTGGACACCGGCTTTTGGGGATTTCAATTGTAAACCGTCCAACTATTGGGGATCCCCCATTCATGGGACCCCCCATGTTAGTTTACTGGTCTATTACAGTCCACTATGCATCCCATCATATATTCCATTACATATTCCACTGCAAATCCATGATATTACACCATGTGGGTTTTCCACGTCTATGTTCGTTTACAGGAGAGTAAATCCCATTAAAACCTCCATTTATCTTTTTTGGGTTAAATGCCAGTAAATCTCATTGTTAGTTTACTGGTATAGGACTTTCAATTATAAACCATCCAGCTATTGGGGATCCCCCATTTATGGAACTCCCATATAATACCATCCATTTTGTTGATTGATAATTTTGATAAATTAAACTAGATAATTGTAAGCAACTATAACTATCCGAATATTATATGACTCATATATCTATCATGTATACTGTAGCTTATATAGATAGCTCCATTTATGGAAACACTGGGAGTGTTACTTGTTTTTTTGGGAAAAAACCCTCCGCACTCCACTCCTTCCATCTCCTCGCCTGTGTGCTTTCGTCCTTCGATGCAGTAATAGATCCAGGCGCCTAGGGCTCCCATGATCAGCAACAACGTCCAATACCTCGTGGCGTTGGCGGCATTGCCGGCATGTGAGAAAAATGATTGGAGTTCATGGGAATTCACGGTAATGATAGGATATGATTCTATGATCAAAAAAATGCGATCAATGGATTGGTTATGATTGGTTTAAGGGAAAATCTTGGCTGGAAACCCTTAATCCCTTAAACCAATGCTGGGATGGAATTTTGATTGCGAAACCTCAAGCGAGTCTCGAGGATGCTTCTGCTTTGGTGAGAAAATCCATGATGGAGGAGGACCAATTAGTTTGGGGGGCCCATGGGCTTGTGCCCAAGTAAGACACCAGTAGAGGAGCACTCATCACCCTGCAGAAAATGCATTTAAAGCATTGTTCCTGAGTAATATGAGTAATTACAAATTTCAAGTATGGTAGCAAATCCTTCATTTTATGCTCGTCCAAGCCCAATTTTTTTGGGAAACCCTCATTTTCCAGCCAGTTTCAGCTCAGGAACTTCACCAAATTGGTGGACATTGCACCGCGGTCACCACCAATCCAAAAGCTGATATCTTCACCGTACATCTGGTAGCGCATGTAATCCTGGAAACCTGGTGAACTCGACATAACTCGACTGCTTGAGGCAGAGGAAGCCACCATGTTGCTGGCTAGAAACCCACCGGCAGTGGTCGTTCATATTTTGTCAGGGTATTATACATGTACGTCACACATACACACACACACACACATATATATATATATATCCATATATATATATCCATATATATATATAATATATTTATTTAATTTTATTTATACAGGTACGTACTCATATATCTATATTTCTTATTCAGCAGGTTTTCATGAATAAAAAAGTTAAAGTGTAGCCACTGCGAATCAAATGTGTATATTTAATCATATTTATAGATGCATGTGTGTGTGGGTCATAATACACCTGCCCATCCTGCCCATATCTTCTATAATATTCTTACTTAGCCATCGGCTCTTATATGAATGGGAATTTCAGGATCCTAAAATTGAGGTACTGCACCATATAATTAAGGCCATATTTTCTGGGGATATTCAGTAGCCCTTAGTACATAGGCCTTACATATGGTAGGCACCAATAAATCGATTCCTTCAATGGCCATTTTTTTTTGCCCGAGATCCTGCCTTTGATGATGGAGTACAGTAGGAGCGGAGCGGAAATGTAGAAGAGCTGGGTTGAGCGCCAAATGTTGTCCATCGATAGGCCGATCACTTCGTTGGCCTTGGCGAAATCTTCGGCGGAAAAATCTGCAACGATACGGCGACCCAGTTGAGTGTTAGCATCACAGAGATTTGCAGTGATCCCTTCAGCTGCGTGGAAACCTAAATTTGATGAAATTGACCTAAACCGGCCCAACATGGACATAAAACATACAAAAAACATACGAAAACTCCAAAACTGTCTGAAATTTGGTGGTTTGACATGGTTTGACGTCATTGGGCATCCCAATTTCAGGGCGGTGGCGCCTCCATACTCGTGGAGAGGGTGTAGCGGAGGGCCGCGGCGATGACCATGCCCCAACTCAGGAGCTGCACGGCCAGCATGAAGGAAAACATGCCTGGCACGGGGTTGGGGCAGGTTGTTTCCCCCGGAGCTGCCAAACTAAGGACACTTACAAACCATCAGGTGGAATTTTTGGGGACTAGCATGGCGAACCATAGATACCTACAACTCTTGATTCCAAAAGAGTAAAGTAAGTGGGGCAATACATTTCTTCAGGTATGGAAAACCGTTCGCTCATTGAGCTCCTACTGAATGAATAACACATTCGCTTTCTTCCTCCAACTCTCGCAACCACTTCTCGAGATCATTGGCAGCGCAAGCGAATGCTATCTAACTAATTGCGTGTAAGTACACACCACTCAATGAAATAACATCTTACAAGCAGAGGGTAGGCATGGTGCCGACATCGAAGTTGCTGCAGGCACCCCTTGTGGCTATCTCATGTAATGGGATAAACCCATCGATAAACTTGCCAAACTACCTTAAGACATGGGTTCTTTGACCGCCATTTTCCATCATTTTCCCATATTCTCATGGCCATGAATGGGCTAATATAGTCTATAGAATTGTCTATAGCTCATTTTCAAACATCCTCAGAGATTCTCAGAGGCGTGCTCTGTCAAATCACCCAAAAAAGGCGGCACCTGTCGAGGAGAAGTGGTAGGTGCGTTTCGCAAAGATACTGTAATAGTTGAAGCCAATCCTCACATGTCCCAGTCATATCCCAGGGACCCGTTTTGACAATCGTCAGGCTTGGTGAACGCCAGGAAGGCTGGCGTTAAATTGGACCAGAATCGCCATTCCAAGATGAATAAATGGGAACATCACGGGGTCATGGGGTAGCAATGTTGCTATCTTTAACTTTGGGCATTGATTGTTCTGTTCGAAACAAGCATGGAGCTCTGAAAACAAGACATAAAGACATCTTCTCCACTTGATGCCTCTGCCAAGCTTCCAAAAGAAGGCTGTCCAAAACCACAGGAAGTAGGTCAAGTTATCCATAGAGATCCTCGGCAAGTCATGTCGATGCCCATTCAAAAATTCGGGTCTTAAAGTATGGTAAAAACGGTTGGTACCCCTTGGGTATGTATCACCTTGTATAACCCTAAATTGCAATTTTTTCGCCAGTGGATTTGGGCCACCCAAAATTAGCTGGAAATTCACTGACATTTTGAAGGATTTTGAAGTGGCGAATGAGGGGGTCGCATTGTCTGGCGCATTCACCTGCTCTTACCTACCATCTGCAAGAGATACGACCATGCCAAATACCATGGGTAGCACGCATATGAGCCCCACAACAAATGGAATATGCTTGGAACATTTTGGAACATATATATCTTAGCAAATATATATATATATATATAATCAACCCCGTTATCTTAGAATATCCGTTTTTCCAATTATGCAGTTGAACTCGAACGCAACTCCACTTAGAATATGCCCACATTTCGTGCTCATCTGTTTTCTCCCCATTTGGCCTTTGCTCTGGAAGCCTTTGTACACCTCTATGCAGCCTGTTTCCGTTTTTTTTTCAAGCAGTTTTCACATACTAATTTGATTTTTTATTACTTTGTGTTCTGAAAAGTAGATTTTTTTCTACCGCAAAGGGTCCCCCCCACGAATGGTGGAGATCCATGGGAAATGGTCTAGGTTGGGTAAGTGCAAGGAATAGGGCCCCCTTCATGTATGATTACTATATACGTAATTCCCTTTGGGGAGCAGCAATCCTGGATGTCTGAAGTCCGTAAACTAGAACGTTTCAACAAAAAAACAACTCCCCCGAAATGATCAATTTCTTTTCATATTGTGTTAAAAAAATGAGTTTTTCAAGCTCACCGAAGGGTACCCCCCACGACCGGTGTCGGAGAACTATGAAAAAAACTAGTTTGCAATGAAAACTAATGGAATTAGGTGGCATTCCTTTAAAAAAATGATGAATATTTTCACTGGGGACCTATATTCTATGTATGTAGTTTTGCAAGGAATAGGGCCCCCTTCATGAATAATTATTATATACGTAATTCCCTTTGGGTAGAAGCAATCCTGGATGTCTGAAGTTCCTAAACTGGAACGTTTCAACAAAAAAACAGGTCCCCCGAAATGATCAATTTCTTTTTATATTGTATTAAAAAATGAATTTTTCAAGCTCACCGAAGGGTACCCCCCACGAACGGTGTCGGAGAACTATGAAAAAAAATAAAAAACTAGCTTGCAATGAAAACTAATGGAATTAGGTGGCATTCCTTCAAAAAATGATGAATATTTTTCACTGGGGACCTATATTCTATGTATGTAGTTTTGCAAGCAATAGGGTCCCCTTCATGTATAATTATTATATACGTAATTCCCTTTGGGTGGCAGCAATCCTGGATATCTGAAGTTCCCAAACTGGAACGTTTCAACAAAAAAACAGGTCCCCCGAAATGATCATTTTTTTTTATATATTGAATTAAAAAAATGAGTTTTTCGAGCTCACCGAAGGGTACCCCCCACGAACGGTGTCGGAGAACTATGGAAAAAAATAGTTTGCAATGAAAACTACTGGAATTAGTTGGTGTTCCCACAAGAATGGTTAACTATTTTCATTGGGGACCAATATTCTATGTATGTAGTCCTGCAAGGAATGGGGTATCTTCCATGTAAAAGTATAAGGGTATATATCAATATATATCATATACGTAATTCCCTTTGGGGAGCAGCAATCCTGGATGTCTGAAGTTCCTAAACTAGAACGTTTCAACAAAAAAACAGTTCCCCCGAAATGATCAATTTCTTTTCATATTGTATTAAAAAATGAGTTTTTCAAGCTCACCGAAGGGTACCCCCCACGACCGGTGTCGGAGAACTATGAAAAAAACTAGTTTGCAATATCCCTGACCCCAACTGGTTCAGGAGTAGGGGGGGTGGATCCTACATTTCTGATAATGTATGAACATAAGGGGGGGGTTAACCCCCTCACTTTTTGCCAAAAATGTATGGGAACTAGGGGGGGGTAACCCCTCAAAATGAGGCATGTATGAGTGCCAGATGCTGGAAATGTATTATTGGTAGGGGCATTGAACCTGAAAATGTATGCTTTGTGGGGGCGCCACTGACAAGAGCCAATGGATACATAAACTTTTCTAAATGCATGCAATCATGGGGGGTCTGCACCTCAATCCACTTGATCTTTTTTTTCCTGGGAAACCTACTGAAACCCATGGGGAAACCTGGGAATACCTGGGGTCACCTAAAAATATTCTGGGGTATTCTAGGCTGAAGACCACTGAAGACCATTCTGGGCCAATGGCAACTAGCGGGCCCTCGAGCCATAAAATGGCTGAAATATACTCGATCTTAAATATTCTGAAATGTATGCATTGCAGGGGGTACCAATGACTACCTTAGCAAGATCTATAAACTCCATTTTCCCAAAATGATGTGCTTTTCGGCTACCCAACCCCCCTAAAATACATTTTTCAATAAAGGGTATTCCCCAGAAAAAAATTAAACATTCCCGGGGATCCTGGAAAAACCAAACCCGTAAAATGTATTAAACCACCCCCCCAAAATAAAAGATCCTGGGGGGGTTGGATATCCCGACCCATGGATCCTACATTTAACGTACAACCACCGGTCAAATAATGTATTTAGGGGGGGTCCTGGGGAATCAAATTCTTGGAGAACGGTAAATGTATTTTTTTACCTGACCTCTCCCCCCCCTAAAATACATTTTTAGGGGTGGGTGATTTTGCAATGAAAACTAATGGAATTAGGTGGCATTCCTTTAAAAAAATGATGAATATTTTCACTGGGGACCTATATTCTACGTATGTAGTTTTGCAAGGAATAGGGCCCCCTTCATGAATAATTATTATATACGTAATTCCCTTTGGGTAGAAGCAATCCTGGATGTCTGAAGTTCCTAAACTAGAAGGTTTCAACAAAAAAACAGCTTCCCCGAAATGATCAATTTCTTTTCATATTGTATTAAAAAAATGAGTTTTTCAAGCTCACCGAAGGGTACCCCCCACGAATGGTGTCGGAGAACTATGAAAAAAATAGAAAAAAACTAGTTTGCAATGAAAACTAATGGAATTAGGTGGCATTCCTTAAAAAAACGATGAATATTTTCACTGGGGACCTATATTCTATGTATGTAGTTTTGCAAGGAATAGGGTCCCCTTCATGAATAATTATTATATACGTAATTCCCTTTGGGTAGAAGCAATCCTGGATATCTGAAGTTCCTAAACTGGAACGGTTCAACAAAAAAACAGGTCCCCCGAAATGATCATTTTTTTTAAATATATTGAATTAAAAAAATGAGTTTTTCAAGCTCACCGAAGGGTATCCCCCACGACCGGTGTCGGGATTTATGGAAATGTGAAGGATTTATGGAGAAAATGAAGAAACGCATATGGAAAAAGTGAAGAATTTGACTGAAAAGGGAAAATCATTTATATGGAAAAGAATCTGTATGGCAAAATATGGTAAACTGAAGAATTTGTATGGAAACGTGCAGAATTGTTATAGGAAAGTGAAGAATTTATATGGAAAAATCATGAATGTGTCTGGAAACATGAAAGAAGTTATATGGAAAAAATATGGAAAAGTGAAGAATTTGTATAGAAATGTGAAGGATTTATTAGGAAATATATATATATATATATATGGAAAAATGATGAATTTGACTGAACAAGTGAAAGAATTTGTATGGCAAAAATATGGAAAAGTGAAGAATTTGTATGGAAACGTGAAGGATTTATAAAGAAAAGTGAAGAACTTCTATGGAAAAATGACGAATTCGTCTGGAAAAGTGAAAGAATTTATATGGCCCAACGATATTCTAAGTATAGGTTTTTTAACGTCAACTGTATTCTAAGTAACTGTTTTCAAGTTCAATTATGGGGATGCCCTGGGAAGCCAAAATTTCAATTCTATATTCTAAGATAACGGGGTAGATTATATAAATATATATATATATATATGTATGGGTTATCATTACCTACCTGATATAATCTTCAGGTTTTTAATTTTCCATACTTGTCCACTGTTCTGGCACAAAAAAGGCCACTAGCCTCCCCAATCGGCAAAGTGTCAACAGCCTTCCCCACCATCGCATTTCATCTGGCCAAAGAATAGGAAGCTTCAGGCCACAAACCTTCAGCTTAGCAGGCTCCAGGTGCAAGCTCAGTCTTTTGGAAGGATATGGGATGATCAGGATTATATTATGCATATATATATATATATAATTATACGTATATGTAAACACTCACACCATCTCCTTTTTCCGCGTGCAGACCAAGTTTTATCAAAATAAAAAGAATTAAGTTCAGTCCCATAGAAGAATAACCATTCTTCTAACATAGGGAGCCTCAATATTTTTACCTCACGCCACACCGGAGGCAAAAATATCCTCCCGTACCCCCCAGGCCCCCGCCACACCGGGGAAACCCCAGGCCTCAGGTACCAAAAATTTTGGGACAAAAAGGAAATACCACAACCAGCCCCCAGCTTTTGCCCGATTTGTCTGCTTTCCACGTCCCCCTGCCCTGCTCTTTAAAAAGAGCTGGCTCAAGTGTTGGCAGAGTACGCAAATAATTCTCAAAAACAGAGTGAAACGGACGAAGAAGTTTCGGTGAGATTTCCAATTCAGCAATCATGGCCAATCCTGAATTCAAATAATTTTTTGCGGTTTTTAAGGCAGTCCATCTGCCTTGGAGCAAAACTCGATCAAGAGATCCAAGTTTAACAAAAAGAGAGGTGGCTCCACCGCGTCTCAGAGAATATGGGCGAAATCCCCTTTGGTCCAACTTTAATTCCAGCAAACATCGAGCAAACATTTGCCGCCAAATGTGGGGCTTAGCTGTTAAAAATTGGTGTTTAGAGGCTTGCAACTTCCATTTCCACAGCCATTCAAGAACAGCCATATCAGTGAGAGTCACGCTCTCAGCTGCTCCTTGCCTCTTTCCGGACTTTGTGAGTCCCAAATTCAAAACAGCAGGTTTACCAGGAGATACCATGTGAATTTGCCAATTCTGCAATGCTAGAAGCTCCCCACTTCTAAGCAAGGCATGAAAGCCTACCAGCAAACTCAATCCAAATGCAAATTCTTGGTTAAAAATTGCCCATCCTACCATTGCTTTCAGCACTGGTTCAGTGAGGGGAGGAGCACGGCAAGGGATTTCGTTCGTGGTCCAAGTTTTCATAAGTCTCCACGACCCTGGGAGGCACCCCTTTAATTTGGGGTCTTGGTCTTGAAGTCCAGCAATTACATTGCTAGCTAACGACCTCCCTTCTCCAGCAGCCCAGATATGCTCCAAATAATCAGAAACCAGGGCATCCATCGCATCCCTCTTACTGGGCAGTTGAAGCTCTTCAGATTGTAAGTAGTCAAAAAAGTGACGTAGACCTTCTTGGTATCTGAGTTTGGTTTTTGGTTGAACAGTAAGTGACCTCAGAGTACCTAGGTTTTTGCGCATTTCTTTTCGTCCTTCTCTAGTGCGACCTTCTTTTATTTTGGCACCTTTCTTACCCATTTGCGCTTGACCCGGCCACGCCGTGACGGCTTATCGGCCGGATTTTTATGAGTGTCTACATAGCCCCAAAGGGGCTGAAGGCCGCTAGCGAGAAGGTACGAGTTAATGCGCATGAGAGTTCTCCTCATTTTCCGTGAAGAGGAGCGCCCTCTAGTAAGGGCGTGAAGGACCACTAGGCTGTCCACCAAATGAATGCACCTAGCATCCTGTTCCAAAAGCTGTTCACATCGCCACTTAATAGTAGTCAATACGGACCGTAATTCCAGAATATTAATGTGTTCTGCTGATCCCTTCCAAACCCAGCCAGCAACAGTACGCCACCTCCAAAGCTTCGCTGGTATGCTAGTACGCAAGCGTTGAAATTTCACTGGGGCCTCACTGACCCCTTGGATAAGCAAATCTTCGCCCTTAAGTGAAACTAATCCACATAGCCTCTTGATCAGGAGTTTACTGGCATCAAAAGTTTTGGTGGATCCATGCATAGGTGGCCGCAATAGAAGCGACTGTAAATTAGTAGCTTTGCCAGGCGTCAGTCGATCCACTATGTCTTGGACAGAAAGTGGTTCCATCAGCCCCAAAATAGTTAACAAACACGAGAGGATCCAGGCCACCACCGGAATGCTCCATGAATTCCCCAAGAGGGAGAGGCGACAATCCACATGATGCGCTTTGCCATGTTCAGCTTTGGCCATGCACTGCCTTGTATACCCAATGGGAAATCCCAAAATTGCCTCCCGTTCAGCCACGCTGGGAGGCCTGGGAGCATGGGTTTTACTATGTACGCAATGAACATCCTTGTATTGATAGGGAGGGAATCTATGTGAATCCCTCTTCCATCGCTCCCTTTCATGCTCCAGGCAGTCCTTCAAACCAGCAGGCCGCCTCAGTGGCTCTGCACTAGGCCTCGAAGTAGTGAAGGTAGGCAATTTCTTCTGACCCTGAACCCAGGTTCCGGGCTCTAAGAAATCTTCTGGGAGGACATTAGCGTGAAGACGCACCTCCCCTTTGAGCGGCAACCGCCCTTCCGATCCAAGCAAAATCTCCACCCCCGTCGCCCCAAGTAATTCCCAGCTGTTCCAATACAATCTAGGCCTATGGGCCAAACTGATACCTGCCGCGTCTATGAACCATGGATCACAACCGTAAGCCGTACTCATAGTGTGACAATCATCATAGTCCATAGACGCCACATTCTCAACCAGTTCATGTACTTGGGCCCAAGGAAAAGCCAGTTTACATAGCGCCACTACTTGGGGGATATGCTGAAAAAGGCAGCTCCTAAGGTCTCGCAAGGCCCCACGTCGATCTGCATTTAGGCCTGACACCCCCTGGCAAGGGGGGCCGGCTCCAACGAGGACCAATCCCACACCAGGAAACCTAAGTGCCCATTGGGTAACCATCTCAAAGTCAACCTTAGCAACATCATCAACAAAGATGGTATCCGGGAAAAAGCTCTCTACAACTCGTCTAGCCTCAGGGCTCTGTTCAATGGATACATGCCCTGCCACGGGCACTCCCAGAGAGTCCAAGCTGACACGTAGTCCACTAATTCCATCAAACATACCTATGCTAAGAATCTGCACGAAATCGTGCTCCTCAGGCACTTCTCCACGCACTAAAGCTCCTTGGGCAGCAAGCCCGTATGGAGTCAAGCCTTTGGAGACGCAAACTCCCCCACCTGAACTGGACGCATCGCTCGCGGTCACTGCTGCCTTAACACTGAGACGGAGGTCCATAAATGCCAGAGGGATCAAGCACAGGAATCGGACTAATTCTTCCATAACAGCCAAGCTAAGGTAGGCCCTATACCCTTGGCCAGAACCCTCCAGCTCCACTATCTGCCTCCAAATCTTATTCAATCCCCCTAGAAGGGGGCGTTTGAACATGGAGAGGTATACCAACCCTCCTCCAACCACCTGCAGTTCTCTCTGGGAGGCTTTTCCGTCCCGAATCAACTGCCAGGCCAGCGCAAAGTATTTTGCGATTTTTGGTGGTTTAGCTGATACCCTCCCTTTATCGCCATTCACCCAAGCTCCTTGAACTTCAGCCTGAACTTGCTGTTCCACTGACTTCTTTGGATGTCTTGGGAGGCCCCCCTCAAGGTAAGCCTCCCGTAAGTGCTCCACCACTGGGGACACCGTCCCTTGTATTGCCAAAGCCAATGAGCGATCGACCCGCTGCAGCTGGTCAAAATTATCCAAATAAACTCGAAACAGATTTGGGCAATTACTAAAAACCCTATCTCTTCTGAGCTCGCTTTCTCCCCCCAGGGGTGGCTGCAAAGTAGCCAGGCAACGTCTCACCACCAGTCGGTGAACGTGCTGCGCAATACTAACGCTGTTTATGAATCCCATTGGCAAAACTTTTGCGGCTAAAATTCCAACCTCATCCACAAACTCAGCCGGCACCAGCTCCCTAGGTAAAGCCAAACCAAAGCCCAAATATCTCACCCACGGTCGCGGCACCTGGAACAAGTAGAAAAAACATCTGATATCTTCCGACGATATCACCAAGTGCTCCTCGGCATCCAGGGTCATCTGTCCCAAACAAGTCGCTGTGGGAAGGGTAGCAGTATCTCCCATGAGCTGGTGACAGATCTGGTTCACAGGTTTTAGGTTCATTATTAACCTGGAAGCCTCGATGGTGCCATGATACTCTCCTTTTCCAATGGCAAACATTCCGTTGAGAAGTGGGCGTCCATCAATATGATGTACATCTTTTAGTCGAATCACTTCACAGACCCCCCGATCAATGAGACCACGCGCAACACCAGCCCATTCTTGGGGATGAACCATAACTTTTGGGGTGGCACCAATAGTCTGCTGCTTCTCCGGCAATAAAAAATCCTCAAAATGGTTGATATAGTGATGAACTCCACCTTCCGTGAAATCTTTCAAATGCAATTGCCCCACTTCAGCGGGTAGAGAGGCGGCAATGCTTTCCCAAACCATGGGCCTCGCCAATTGGATCTCCTCCCCAGCATAGTCAACCCCTCTACTTCTGAAAAAAGAAGGAAAATCCAACTTAGGAGAAACTTCATCCAAAGCCTCACAGTCCCTTACCAACAAGCGCAACCTTTTCACTGCCTGTAAAGAGGACAGGCTGCCTCGATCATCTACAGAGCTTGCCACCCCATTCATATGGTTCAAAGCCCTGATGGTGGCATGAAGAAATGCATCCCTGTCGGTCCCAGCCCCAGTGAAGCCAGGCAATGGTAGTGGGAAAAGCCTTCTTTTCATTGCCATGGACGGTGGTCTGCACAAGCCATCATGATTCAATAGTTTCATGGCTTCACAGAGCATGGGACCAAAAGCGCCCAAAGTACTTCCTTCAAGAGGTCGACTAGCTATCTCCATCAGCCGCCCCCTCACTGTGCGGTGAAACTCTTGGGAGTCGCTCAGGCTGCCACCCGGACGACTCCCTTGTGCATAGGCAGCCTCCTGCGCCTTGGCAAGAAGCTCCTCAATGGCCCTTGTTGTGAAACTTTCTGCCTCCTCTTCAGCCCCTTTCTGCTCAGCCTCCGCCGTCTCAGCCTCAATCTTTCCTGCCTTTTTTACTCTAAGCCGCTCCTCCCTGTCTTTTCTCCTCTCTCTGCTCCCTTCTTTCCTCTTCTTTTGTGGCATCTTTCTATGGGCTACACTCTCTGTCAAGGTAGGGGCAATGCTGACCTCAGGGGTCCCCTCTTTCATTTGTCCTTCTTCGGCCATTCTCTTCTATGCTCCTCTCTCTTCCCGTCTCCTCCTTTCTGTCGCCCCCCTTCATCAGCTTTGCCCTTACCACTACCTTTACTGTCTTTGCCCTTCTTGCCTTTGCCACCTGAGTTTCGATAGTCGCCTGCTCCGGCGAAGGGAGACTTGCTCATCATGCTGGACAGCCGTGCTTCTTCCCGGGCACGTCGAGCTGCCTCGATACTTTCGCTGTCCTCCGTCAGCGCTAAGCCATCAGCTTTTACCAATTCTAGTTGTCTTGCCACACTCCAATGTGTGTTGCGAGCGATGGCTTCAAGTGACTTTAACCTTTGGGAGAGAATATCACAGGCGCTGGCTGGCTGACCTTGCAACAACAGGTCAAGCGTCATGGCAATCGTCAATGCTTCTTGCGCCATCGGCGCGCTCATAATTGGCATGAGGTTCTGACGCGCAAAGTGCGTCATGAGAGGAGCCAGCTTCGTCTTGTCCAACTGCCACATCGTGCCACTGGAAGTGACCAGATGCCTCTGAGCTTCCTGCAAACTATTGCAGGTCAAAGCCCCTGGATATCTCTCCCATAGTGTTTTGATTTTCTTCTGACTGTCAAATAGGCCGCCACCTTCTCCTTCACTGGTGCTGTCACTTTTGCTACCGCTAGAACTGGAGCTGCTGCTAGCTGACGAATCCTTCTTCTTTTTGCCCTTCTTCTTGGACCGCCCTATCCTCTGTGCCTTTTTCATAATCTTCTTCCTCCTCTGCGCATCTGGGTCCAGGCCCGTGTGCCCATACAAGGCCCGCAAAGACTTCTTTCCTCCTGTTGCGCTCTCCTCCGCGCTACTTTTCCCTTTCGCCTCTTCTCTGTCCGCCTTCTTTTCTTTCTTTGACTCCGTGGCTTTCTTCTCCTTCTTCTTTCGCTTGGGAGACGCCTCCTTAAGCCTCCCCTCATCTCGCCGCAACCTTTCTTGCTCCAATCTCAAGCTCTCCATCTCATCCACTCCTCTCTCTTCTCGCCCTGGCACCTTTACCACGTTTGTATACCACGGCAGAGCTTTCGCCTCAACTTTGATACCTGCCTTGCCATGAATCAGGTACTCTCCAGTAAGACTGTTGTCACAGTCCGGCGCGCATAGATGCACTTTGATCATCCTGTCCTCCTTGCCAGTCAGCACCTTCAGAAGGCCTTCATCTTGGGTTCCCGTGACGTCCAGCTCGATGTAGGTCTGACCATGCTCTACCCGGACTTGGGCAACTCGTCCTACCACTTCAATCTTCCTGTGGTAATAGACCGCCTCTTTCAGAAAGATACTCCCTAAGCTCTGCACCTCCCCTATGGGAAGCTGGCACAACTCCATTTCCAGACCTCCTCCTCGACGCTCAGGCTGCCCTGCCTCCAGAGCCGCAGCAGGTCTCCTAAGGCCTGCTCTTCCTCCATTTCCTCTCCCTGCCGGCCTCCTCAGTGCAGCCTTGGGCGGCATAGTCCTCAGCGCCGCCGCCTTCTGTTGTTAAACCTCTCTTGTTTGGCCCGCTTCACAACACCCTTGTTCGTCCCCTGACTCCACCTCGCGTGGTTGGAGTAGGGTACGGGGCCCCGCCAACCAGAGCCTTGCTGGGAGCCCCGGTTGTCCCTCCTTGGCTTGGGATACGACGGTTCCCAATGGGAGTATCTGTACTCCCTTTCTTGATAGCCCTGGGGCGGCTCCGAGGGCTCTGGCGGCCTTTCACTCCTCCTCTTTCTCTCGCGGTCTCCTCTGGATCTGGGAGGCTCCTCCCCTCCCCTGCCTCGTCTGCTGCGGCTGCCTCGACTCCTTCTCCTACTGCGGGACCTTCTCTTGTCCTTCTTTTCTTTCTTATCTTTCTTCTCTTTCTTTACCTTTGGCACAGGACTGGGAGGGGGCAGGCCTCCCGTACTCTCTGGTGGCTCAGCTGCGGCTGTGGCTTCAGTCTTGTCAGCAACTGCTTTTTCCGGGCCTTTCTCTTCCTCTGCGGCGACTCTCGAAGATGAAGCAGCCGCGTGCCCCCCAGAGGGTTCCAAGGGGCTGGAAGGCGGCTTTGCCTTGCAAGTTGAGCCGGCTAGCAGTGGGGCGCTTTCTCCTTTCTTGGTAGCTTGGGAGGGCTCTGCGGCCGCCTCCCCTTTGACCTCAACAGCTGGAGGGCCACCAGCTGGAGGTGCTTTCGGCGCCGCTACCGGCGCAGGCGGTCCTGGAGTAGTGGCAGCTACCCCAGGCCTTGGAACACTTGTCAAGTAGTCCCTGAAGTCCGCCTCCAGCAGCCGCAGCCGGAAAGAGGCGTAGTCCAGGAAGCCACTGAGGTTGCTATTCCCCCCGATCAGAGCAAAGACCCGGGGGAGGGTACGACACACCGTACAGCTGCACGTAGGTGCGTGTCCCCACATCTACAACCTCTAAGCCAAACACTATAGCGGAATATATGATGGTTTCTTGTTTATTCCCGTATAACGTGGGAACATGGTGTGTGTGTGTATGTATGTATGTATGTATGTATGTATGTATGTATGTATGTATGTATGTATGTATGTATGTATGTATGTATGTATGTATGTATGTATGTATGTATGTAGTATGTATGTATGTATGTATGTATGTATGTATGTATGTATGTATGTATGTATGTATGTATGTATGTATGTATGTATGTATGTATTATGTATGTATTATATATGTATCATATGTATATATATATATATATATATTATATTATATTATATATTATATTATATTACATTACATTACATTATATTATATTACATTATATTATATTATATTATATATATATGCATATGCACATGCATGTGTATATGTACATGTATATAGAAGCACACCAAATCTGAGCGGAGGAGTGCTTTACTTGGCCAAGTAGCTGAAAGCAAGAATACTATGCAGAGTCATGCAGAACTTATGTGTTTAAAAAAAAAACATAAAAAATCAGAAAAACAAACTGTTCACAGAAAGTTGTCATGGCTGAAAGGAGTGGGTGTTTCTAAAAACGGTGGATTACCCAAAATTGTCATTTTACACAATTGCAAAACTAGTATAAACTAGTGATAAAAAATGAGATATTTTAGGGCTAAGGCCAGGGGTACAATTGCCAACATGGTGATAAATCATTGACTGTGGGGGTGCCCCATGTTCAAACAAACCCGCATAGAAAACTCGAAGTTCATCACCTCATGATCCAAGTGACCCGCTGAACAAACTTCAGCAGCTCGGTGCAAATGAAAAGGACCATCAAGAAGAGAACCAAGCACAACACCCAGCTGATGAACTGAAGTGTCATGGTCAAATATGTCTCCTGGCAGGGTCACTGCCGCTGTGCAAAAGTGATCAGAAGTGCGGGTCACTGCAGCCGCACAGTGCCCCGGGGTGTCCCTACATCCCATGCCACAGATCCAAAACCCCAATGGGGCTGACATCCCTTGATACAGTACTCAAACTTGGAAGAATCATTGAAACTCCTGAAGCTTCAACAGGGGTGAAGCTTAACACTTACCCTCTGGTAACCAAACATCACCAAAAGCTGGGGAGATACCATCTCCACCAAGCATCAAATGACCATGTTAGAATCTACCAGACATGACATGTTGGGGGTGTCTCAAAAAGTTTGAGTATCACAATCGCATGGGGTGTCATCATATTCCTGATTAAACTTAACAAAACTTGCCATAACATTTGGAGAAAAAAACGCGATTTTCGTTGAGACAAAGCCACATGATGATAGTAATCGTAATGTAATACTAATTAATAAACTAATAATGTAATAATAATGTATATACACATAATCTAATAAGAATGCATTAATGCTGTAAACAAAATGTGTGTGTTTGTGTATATATGCACACTGTGTTCATATCACATAAGCCCATTACATATCACATTTCCACATATATGTATATGTATATATAATTATCCATATCCATATCTACCCATATCTATCCATATCTATCCATATCTATCCATATCTATCCATATCTATCCATATCTATCCATATCTATCTATTTATCTGTCTATCTAATCTAATCTAATCTAATCTATCTATGTATCTACGTATGTTTACATATACATATCATACATATGTTATACCCCTTGGCCCTTGCATCCCCTCGTCTCCAGCAACTTGGGATTCTGGGTGAAGTATTCGCTGCGCGCCACCAGGGCAAAACTGCGAAGGTAGGAGACAACGGGCTCCATAGCCTTCGTATACCAGTCTTCCTCCACCATGCCCCACTTCACCTCAGAATGTCGGGGCTGGGCGTGGAAAAAAAAAGAAAGGGTGACCCAAGGCCGGAACGGTTGATGAAGGGCGAACCAACACCCTAAATGGATGGATTTTTACATGGAGTTTAGCCATTGAAAAATATATAGTTATGGGAACCTGTGGAAGCATATACAGCGTAGTGATTACATATATGGATTTGGGTGGAGCATGATGGAAATTGTGCAGGAAACCATGGTATTTTCATGTATGTTTATGCTTCCAGTCCAGTGTGGTGGTTTCTTTCGGTTTCTAGACGATCTTCCCTTCAACTTCAACGAATTCAACGGAGTGTCAATTGCGCTATCCAAGGCGCAACCTCCCAGGTGGTGTCTGTCTTACTCACCAGCCGGAAGAGCGAAGCTAAAAAGCAAAAGAAGAAGATCAAAGTAAACCACACCTCAGCAAGGCGCGTGGTTTATCATTGCTCTTGCGAGGTACCCTAAATCTAGAAATTCCCCCAGTTTTCAACCAAGGGGATCCAGGGGACCCGAGAGGATAACAATCCAGGTGAAGTCATGCCAATCAAGTACCAAATGGATCCAAATGGTACTTAACTGAAATGTAATGAAAATGTATATGAACATGTATTACATCTCCTTAAAAAACCGCCATCCATGGCCTCTGGGTACAGAACGCTTCATTCGGCTGACTGTCGGTCCGAATTCACCATGAAAATTCAAAGATGGGATCTCGGGCCATAATAAAAGGGCGTCCTCCGATATAACACACCTGCAAATCATCTATTTCAATCTGAAGTTGGGACCTGTCCATGTAGGAACCTCCGACTTTGAAAGGTTCGTTCAGTATCAGCGACCAGTGAACTTCAGGCTCTTCAAAAAACAACGCAGGACTTACTATAATTACTTTGTATAGCTGTATCGTGCTGTACCTGTCCGAGCCGTTGCTGATGATATGAATCAAGGATTCGTTGAGGCTTTACCAGCTATTTCAAAGAAAAAAATGTAAATGTGAATGGAGCCTCTGCATCAGCACATGTGTCAGCAATCCCAAGAAGCCAGCTGTTTCGAGGAAACCCATGCCTCCCAGTCATCAGTGTATGTTATTTGTCATCTGGCAGGCCCTCTAACTTGTGCCCTCTTCCTTCTTGCGGCCAGGCACCATGTAAACACCTAGGCCGCCCAGCCATGTTTCACGGAAGCTGGTTGCAGAACAAGTTGGGTCAAAAGCTCAGCATCTAACCAGCATTTCGCTGTCACATGCACGCCATTATATAGTTGATTGTTGAACAATTCGTGATTTTGTGGCCCTCGCATCATGTGTTCGATGTGACCCTCGAGTTTTCACGTCTTAGTGGAGTCAAGGGGCCCTTGTGGCAGCTGAAGAAGGTCTGCAAGGACAGGACCACGCCTCCCTCAGCCCATCGCTGCACGGCGGCCAAGTAATCCACAGGGTTCTTGGCCATGCCATAGGACAAGCGACCTGCTCGGGCCACATCCGCCATGAGTCGTGAAGCGATCACTCAGAACATCCTCCGAAAGATTTGTTAACATTTGAAGACTTCGGGAGGGTTGATGCGCCTTGGGCATGTACCAATTTCTCAGATATCCCATCATATTTTCTGTTGCCCTTCATCAAAAATCAAGAGCCAATTATTAACTTCATTGAACTTTTAAAGGGCGAACATATGCAGTACGTAGGTGTGGTCATTGGGTGAAGATCAAACTACAGTGATTAGCTGCTAATGTACGATGAACATGTCAGAATGCTCCCATATACCCCAAGAAATGGTAAAAGTATGTAAAAGTACGTTAAAGACAAAGATCGTTAAGGTACTAAACTTATGGAGTAAAATGTTCAACATCATTTGTAAGGGTCCTTGCAGAATCATAGGTATATAGATCTTGACACATCCGAAAAGTCCCCAAATTCGAGCCATCGCCACCGAGTTGCGATTGATGAACTGAGAGCGTCGGCCACGGAGCACAGTCTGAAGACTGCTAGCGGTATCCTGAGAAAAGAGGAGCCACAAAAGGGCAACATGGGACTGGCAATATCCACATGCTGAAAGGGAAATATTGAAAACAACTCCTTGAATTGTTGCATGGAAATGTTTGAGGACCAAAAGGAAGCTGACTGTCTGATGCTTTCAACCCACCATGAAGAATATGTGTCCTTGGAGATCATCTCAAACAGGATGAAAAATAGACCATGAGCGGACTGAGGTCACTTATAACATATATTATAACATACATATATTATAACATATTATAACCATCTTACGCCGTCAAAACTAAAGACTTCGAACCAATTCACCCTGAAACGCTCCCTTTAAAAACTTTAGCAGCACCGAAAAACCGCCTCCCAACCTTGACTGAGTATCCTCCACTTTGCAGCTTTCGTGAAAGGTGCGGCGTTCCACATATTCCTGTGCGATTCTGTGAGGACTGATGTGACAGCTGTATCATGTTGCATCCATAGATGTCGTTCCCTACTGGTTGGTTGGTAAATGAATGGGTCTTCCCCATGAGAAATCAAATAATCATAGTTGATGTACCCTCTGGTAAACTAACATAACTATGGAAAATCACCATTTTCAATGGGAAATTCCACTATAAATGGTCATTTTCAAAAGCTATGTTGTCATTACCAGAGGGTAGTTGGTGTAGTGTATGGCTGTATGGCTATCGATGTTATTCGGTGCACCCCGTGGGATCAGAATTCCCAAGCCAGTCGCCATTTGCTTTCTACTCAACCACACAATGGATTGCTTTTGTTGGGAAAATCTTAACCCGAATCTTTCTAGAAAAAATCCTATGATTTTCCTATGATTTTTATGGGTGGTCCCATGTGGTTCCTGTAATTTTTCCCTTGAATGACAACATGATCTGCACCGCCCACACACTGTCCCTGGCCTGGCTCCTACGCTTGCTGTCGGCATCGCGCACACGGCGACGCTCCCTTTCCCACACCAAGTCGCCCTGAACGGGATCGATGGGAGACCAGAAAGGGTGGTGGTGATTTATAATTACCCTCTGGTAATTTAACATAGCTATTGAAAATCACCATTTTCAATGGGTAAATCCACTATAAATGGTCATTTTCAATAGCTATGTTAAATTACCAGAGGGTACCCTCTGGTTATTTAACATAGCCATGGAATAGATGGCCCATTGAAATAGATGATTTTCCCAGCTAGAAACCTCATGAAAGCTCCATTTTTTTCAGGGATTTTCCATGGCTATGTTAGTCATAACCAGAGTTTAAGTGGATGGACCAATGGATGGCTTTAAGGGAAAATTCCATGTTTAATGGAAAAATCTATGGTCTCCTGTAGATTAAGGGACAAATTCAACCGGAAAACTCCGGTTAAATATGGACAATTCGATGGTTTCCAATGTAGATTTTCCCAACAAGACCAATCCATTGGATGAACATGGGAATTCTGGATCGATTTCAAGAAAACTATTGGGATAATTAATTACTGCTGCAACTGATTTTCAGGGAGAATTTAGGATAACTTCAGGGCTGTGACACAATGAAGATATGATTTTGTTGTCAGGTTCAATGTTGAAGCAATTTGGGTCTTGAAAGTTGTGCAACTAGAATAAACCAAAATCAAGCACATCAGTACACCTGCAACATTAGATTCTGTAGACTCTTAGATATTTTGAACAGGACAAGGTCACATGATTATTCATCACCAACACTTGATATCTATATATTGATACCTTTTACAAAAAATGGTCGTGGATAGTCATGGGACTCATAGATCATCAAATTTGGATCCATCATGATCCATCACCATGTCATGTCAAACACTTGCCCCATAGCTCCCATAATGCTCCACGCCGCTCACGCCTGGACATGGCGAATCAGCCAGGTGCCGTTGGTACCACAGGAACTCACGCCACCGCCTGAGGGATGGGATGAACCATGGACCACAGAGAGAAGGTGGAAATACCTGGAAATACCTGGGTGGAACAGCTTGATTCTTATGAATCTTAAGAGTCCTTATAAGCTTAGCTCTGGTTTGTCATAACACCGAGCGGAGATTAGGAATTTGGCGGCATCCAGGAACATGCTGCAAGCTACTCCACTTTAATATACATATTGTTACATATACATCAATAATTAATCATTTATCAATACCATGAATGAATTTCCATACGTTTCCATATTTGCAGAAGCTCACACCAACTGAACAAGAATGTCATGCACACACCAACAAACTTCTGTCTCTTTCTGTCCCCTAAATGGGCAGTTCTCTCTCCTCTCAGTCCAAGCAGCAGCAATTTCGAATCATGCAATTCAAGCGGAAGAACTGAGCGTTGTTGTTATCCAGGTAATCCAACTTGTCTTGCATTTCGTGGAAGAACTGCGGGCACTGCGTGAAGCCAACATAGGGGTTCAAGTCCATATCATCATCAAAGAAGTACGGAATAGTCGAGTGGAAGAAGTCCGTTTGGAACTGATGCCGGGCATCGCAAATGCTGTAAAGACATGGAAAGTGGTCCCGCTCATCTCCATACATGTTCTCGGGCTTGTCGGCGTAGATGCTCAAGTAGTTCTCCGCAAAGTTCAAGCCGCCAGCTTTGCCACGGCTGGTGCGAAGGGGAACGTTGTTCATGAAGGGATCGTCATCTTCCTAGGTTCGCCAACAAGCCAGAACGGAAGACTGCGCAGCAAGACGCTCTGAATGCTACCACAAGCCTTGTCTTAAAACATCTTATACCAATATCCTATATAAGTGGAGGTTTTCATGGGACAATATCGAACTAAATGGGTGATTCTCCGTTACCACGTTTGATTACTGGAGGGTAACAATGCTGATTTCTCATGTTTGGAATGTCACAAATAGGCCAAGTTGGGGATCCCTGCATTCCCTGGCGCCCCTTGGCCAAATCAAGCCGAACTCCCATCTGTTTTGACTCATACCCTGGATCCTTCTGGGAGGCATCCTTGCAGGTTAGTTGTCTTACCCTCTGGTAATTTAACATAACTATGGAAAGATCCACCATTTTTAATGGGAAAATCCACTATTTCTATGGTCATTTTCCATAGCTATTTTAGATTTTAGACATAACCAGAGGGTATGTTCAAACCATCAATAGCAAGGCGCCAGGCCATAAACCATCTCTCGAGCGTTGGCTCGCAACTTCAGCCAGTCCTCCAGCTCCAGCGACTGGATGGAAAATCATGGAGCCAGGCCCCAGCAACATCCACCAACGTGAGCTACTATAATAGTTAATGGCTGTTAATAGCCAATGATATTTAACATAGTTATATAATAACATCCCATTTAATAAGGCCAATGAGCTACAGCATTTTTTGTGCCTTCGTTTCATAAAACTGATCAAGCTAAGCAAGGTTTACCCAACCTTCACATCAATTTATATACACAGCTTCATCACCCCCCAGCGCCTTGTTCTCGGCATTTTGAGGCACTTTGTAGTACCTTTTGCTGCCAGGCACTAGATCGGCGCCGGTGTCAAAAAATGCCTACACTCTGGTATTTCAAATCTATCAACCCATCCGCAACCATAAAGAACCACTGGTCTACCGTCGTCTACCCTTGAAATGATTCCTCCGCTTTTCCACTGGACCGAAATAACCTTTGCTTTCTCCAAGCCCCCGGTGTTCCCCGGCGCACCAAGTGCCAGGCGCCACGTGCTGAGCCTTGATGGTTCGTTCATCCTCCATGGGCTTGGCACGCGCCAAATAATGCAAGCGCAGCGCCAGACTGTTGCGATCCTGCCACGGATTGCCACGGTCTGGGGTCAGAGCTTGGGTCGTGAATCAAACGAAGTAGCGTGTATAGCATTTTCTCTGCTAAAATGTCAGATCCGGACTTGCCCATTGATTCAGTTCAGTTTCGGGGGTGCCATATTGAGCTACAAATGATCCTGCGCTCATGGAGGTTTGACGAGCGATAGCTAATTAACTATCACCCCGGAACACATCGGAATACTTGCCGACCTTGGACACCGGGAAACACTGCTCCGACCATGTCACAGGGTGATGAACGCATTCTGACGGTCACAAGTTTGCAGGATTGACTACCATAAACCATCATAAACCAACATTAGGGCTGTATTAAACCACATTAAAGTACTATAGGGTGGGCCCTTTGGGCACTTTTCTGCGGACGTCCTGCGGCTCCCAGTCAGCGACATCGTCCCGGTGCAAGTCTTTCTTTTCCTCGGGCAGAGTTCAGGCATCAAAGATGCGGAAAAAAATCAACTGACACCGACACCTTATGATGTTTAGACTTTAGACAAGAGATGACAAGAGTAGCCGTAGAATTTCAGATATTGCATCAACAAAAATCAGCTCAGCAAAATCCAACAGAAAAGAGATAAGTACTGGAGATATCATTGTAGGCAAGGTGGGGATAATTGTCATTGTACTGTAGGCATTCTAGTCAGAACATTCTCAATGAAGCAACCCAGATATTCCGGAGGAGTCTGGCGGGGTGAAATGTGCCGGACATTTCACAGCAAATCTTAAACCAGAGGTCGCGCTTGATTTCCCTAGCATTGATATCACATGGTGGATTTAACATGATTTAACTAGCGGCATGAAGTCAGCCTGAGCCTAATACGTTCAACTTCCTGAATTTGGACCAGATTTCCAAGCTGTTTGACTGTTTGTCTTGATCTTCCAGGGTTTGATGGTGGGTACCATGTGCTATTCAAACATGGCTGGAACATCCCTGAACCAAGTGGAAGTCTTTATGGGAAAATCGCATATAATATACATATATATATATATATATACCTGGTTGGTGGTTTCAACCACTATTAGTCAGTTGGGATTATTACTTCCAATATATGGAAAAATAAAAAATGTTCCAAACCACCGGCAAATACTGTATATATCTCTGCATGCACTATATATGGGTGATTTTCCAGTACCACGTTTGATGACCCGCAGGTGGTTAAACGAGGAACATGTCAAGGACGAAAGGGCGAGACCACTCCCCTTAAACATAGATATACCGCGCCGCGCACAAGAATGGACAAACATCCTGAAATACACGTATACAATGTATGTAATAGTATGTAAGTACATTAAGATCCTGATGCTTCAAAAAGCAAGCACCTAACCATCGTTAACCTACCATAACCTACCAGTACCATTTCTACATTCAATTTACCCACCACCTATGTCACTCATGATATCCCTACAATCAGCCATTGTTCTCAGTTGTGTCAGTTACATATGCCATTATATGAGATAATTCTCACAATTCTCAACATTGTTGTTCTAGCTAATAAAAAAAAACAACGCGGTAGAACTATTAGCTGAGTTATACTAATTCATTAACCATAATAATGGGATATTTCATGGGATTTCTTCCATCCATCCACAGTATCGATCGGTTATAATATCGCATTCTTATTAGATTATTAGAGAATCTTCATGACATATCCATTTTTCTGGCCAATTGAAAAGCGGTAGAACGTCCTATCAAATATCCGTTCTGGTATATCCACTATTGGTGATACTAATATATATATATACACACCCTATATATCCTCAATCATATCCCTTTATTATATATACATATATAATGATATCCCTCCGATAGTCCCATAATTAACCCTATATATATATATATCAGCTTTATAGGTTATATAATTATATATATATATCCCTATTATATCCCTATTATATCCTTATTGTATCCCTATTGTAGTACCATAATGCCATCATATAGGGATATGATATAATAGGGATATAATAGGGATATATACCATCATACCAAAATACCATAATACCATGGATCTTTCTTGTCGTTCTTCAAGTCCTCTTCCAGCTGTGCCAAGGCCACTTCCAAGGCCTCGAAGACCTCTGGGGGCATGGAGCCCCAGCCACCTCGGAGCCAACCAACTGTGACAGCCTTAAGGAAGCCTTGGAAACATCGGAAAATGCCACAAAAAAACACATAGTAAATATACTGTAGTATATCAATGATTTATGATATATAAATGATCTATGATTATATATATTAACTATGATATATAAATGATTTATGAGGTATATATTTATATATATGATTTATAGTATGTAAATGTGGCATAGTATAGTATACCAATATATCATCATAATGATATAGTATACCATATATCATATGTGGTGACGTATCTGTGATATGATATAATATACAGCAGTATAGTTAAGTATAGTATAGTATAACGGTGCATGGTAACTTGGCATCTAATATAATATAGCAGTCTAAATGATAACTTAGTTAATAAATGGACATAGTCTTCGGTAAAACAGTAACTTATTACTAAATGATAAGCTAAATACGGTCGCTTAGTAATGAGTGAAGTATTCATTGGCTCGTTTTAAGGGAACAGGTTTGCAGGAAACCATGGGTTTTACCTTCAAATATCGAACCTTCCTGCAAATGTTCCCATCATCCAAACCTGTGAAATACATTAGAATGTATATTATATATATTTTTTTCCTTTTTCAGCCTAATTATTGTCAGCTACCGTTCAGTTCTAAAAACAAATAGACACATGTCTCAATTTCATGAGACCATGATTCTCAAAACAGAAAACATAAAAAGTAGAATTCACTTCGACAGCCAGGAAAAAGCTATTGCTAAGCCAAGCTTAGATAAACACGTCCTCAAAAACCATAGGAATCCATGGAATTCGGGCCCGAATATGCAAAACTAAAAACGCACCTACCATAGGATTCAGCTGCTTTGAGGAATCAACTCACTTGAACATGCGCGAGTTGGTCTGCAGGTCTGCACATGCTGGACTTAAATTACCTCAGCACACACACACATATTTAAATATATATATATATACATATGTTTAAATATACTGTGTATATATATGTACACATATAAATGAACATATATATATATACAGTATATATATGTATAATTATATACCTATTGGTTGTTCATAATGTTTTCTCCATGTGTTACTGATAAAAAATGATAAAATAAGTTACCCTCTGGCCATGGGTATCCCATGAAATCTTCCAAAAAAAACATGAGTTGGCACAGTGATTCTATAGATATATCTACAGTAATGGTTAATGGTAGTAATCTATGGTTCCTATCATGAAAATATCTACCATGAAACATAGATCATTGATATTGAGATGATAACTGTCTACCATTAACTGAATCAGGTCTATATATATATATATATGCGTGTGTGTCTATTTCATATCATTACCTGATAAATTACCTGTTATTATCATTATAATCGCCAAGAATGTTACCTATTACCTGGTAAATGAGCTATTACTATTATTAATAACCTGGTAACCAGCTATCATATGACCTATTATCATTAGCTCATTAGCTATGACTATTAATAATTACCCTCTGGTAATTTAACATAGCTATTGAAAATGACCATTTATAGTGAGTTTTCCCATTAAAAATGGTGGATCTTTCCATAGCAAACTGTTAGTTTACCAGAGGGTACCTATCATCTGCTGGTATCATTGTCTACCTGCTTCACCCGCTGCGTTTTTCGCCACGCCGCCCTCCTTCCGAAGTTTGCGCAGGGTGTTTTTGCCGCTCATGCGGCGCATGATCTCCGCCTCCACCTCCTTGGAGGGCGGAGAAACGGCGCTGGATTCATGGGATAGGAATGGGATAATATGATACTATAATCATTATGGGATAACATGGGATCACATTTTAAAAAATGGATATGATAAGATTTAGCATATTTGAAGGCATTACAGATCAACACTCATCCATATATCTATGAAGGTGGCAACATTTAGCCAAGCCCAAGTTGTGGGAATATGTTGATGATGTGAACTCCCTTTTTTGGCCCCGAAAAAAGTGACCCCCTTTTTCGGAAATCCATCAAGGTGGCTGAAGATCGTCCAAGCTTCACCAGGATAGCCATCTCGGACCTTTGCCAAGTCCATCTTCTTGGTATCTTCCACCCAGGATTGGAAGAAGCGACTCACATTCTCCTGCGCACGAGAAAAAAACACGAAGGAACAGAGTTGTGGCCGATAACCATCCGTGAGAGGATTGAATTATTATGTCTTTAGTATCTTGTGATGGTCAAAACACTTGGGTTTGCTTGCTGAACCACCAAAAATGAAACACATTCCCGGCCGATTCTCCAAGAAGTGGATTTTCCACTGGGAAAATATATGAAACAAAAATCAACAAATCCAAGAACATGCTTTGTGAAATGAATGTACATAATTGTACATATATAAATATATGCATATTCATCTCATTCAGGGCTCAGCTGGCTTGTCATGTTGTTGTATGATTGGTCCTTTCAATAGCAAGATGCTTTCGATGGCTAGGATGTGCACCACTGCAAAGTGGCCGATCAGCCGCTCACCGCGCTCAAAATTGAAAATGTGTAAATATTGGAGTGTGTGTATATATAATATACTACACATTTATTACAGATTGATGGACAAAAAAAACAATAGAATAAATAAACATGGTTGATCCTCTTGGACGTAATTAGGTGTTTAAAATTAGACAATCAAAACACCAACAAGATCTTATTATGGGTGTGCGTCAACACAGTCTGTGTTCGTGAGCATCCCAAGAACTAGTTGAACACGAAACATCGATGCATTCCGTCTGAACACCAGCATTGATCGGTTCATTTGATTAGTTAAATGAGACTAACCCTGAAGGTAACCTCTGGCAACTCAAACTAGCTATATATTCATAATGGTGATTTACTTCGACCAATTCAAGACGGTGATGGATTCCGGGAAGGTAACCCCCCCTGATCCCTGGGTTAATCGCGACGTCCCAGTTGAGTCCTCATATGAGGCACCACCAAAGTTGGGAATGCGTTCAATGACCGCAGCCAACTTCATGAACATCACCTTCAACTCCCCATAGATTCCGTCATGGATTCAAATGTGTTTTTTTTTAAGTCTGTAGCTTGAACATCCTTACCCTCTGGTAAACTAACATAGCTATAGAAAATCACCGTTTTTAATAGGTAAACCATCTATAAATGGGCCATTTTCCATGGCAAACTGTTCGTTTACCAAAGGGTAATTCATATACATCATATCCTGGGTGAAGTGCTTAGGTCCCGTCTGTTTGCAAAAAATCTGACAGTAAAACCAGTAAAGCCATTTTACTTCGAACAGCTAAGAGAGCGGTCCACCGTTTCCATATAGTGGGGATGTGTTCAAGGAAAATCTATAGAAAAAAATGTTTCTTGGCAACGAGTTGTCCCCGAAACCATATCTTCAAAAAATACAGTAACCGGCCTGGAATGCTTGGTGATTTTGGGGTTGTTCCCAAACTCATCAAATTGTAGGCAATTATTCACGTGCTCCATTCCCAAATGTTTCAAGCGCAGAATGTACGGCAATTTATGCCAGTGTTTTTCTTTGTGGAAAAAAACGCAAACATGATCCAAATGTAGATGTAACCTGTCAAAAGCCCACTTTTGTAAGTACATTGCGGTTAAACGACAAGTCTAATTCTACCAAAACATACCTTTTTTTTTCATACAGTATATATGTATATGGTATGTATATATATATATGAAATAACTATGTATAGTATATATATATATACATGTATTTAATGTACCATGCATGGAGGTTATGATACCCAATGGTTGCCTTCTGCTCGGCTCTGTGCCCTTCGTCCACAAAGGCCACGTGATAACGGCAGCGGCAATCCTGGGATTTCATAGGCCATTTGCACCCCAAGTCATCACCATAAATAGGTGCTATGGTTACCATTCCCAAATGGCTTATCATTGTTTTACCATGTTTTACCCACATTAGTGAGAATGCATACACACACACACATTTCAATTCACAGGCAGAAACATATGAATCATTGCTGAACAATATATACATATATATATATGTAATATGAAACTATAGTAGGTTATCTATATATATAGGTATATAAAACTGTACCATGTTCATCCATTTTCTGTGATCTATATATAATTGTAAGAGCAGCAGTAATATCAGTTAACCCGCGACAGTTGCAGTAGATATAACTATATGTATCTACATGAGCAGTAAAAACCAGGAGTCAAAGGACAATCTCTATGGGCCCTGCTTCCAGGATCTTCCAGAAACGAGGGAACAGAATGGAACATCCTCTAAGCAGTAGCAGGGGTGAAACAACATGAACAAATCTAGCTACAACTCGGAGGGCGTCCTTGATTCATATTTGAAGGTTCCAAGTTGGCTCATTGTGATTCTTGGGCTGTAGCCCGCCAACAGGCCAAGAGGTAGAACATGGTAGAACCATTAAACCGACCTGGAATCCAAAGATGGTAAACTCCCATAGGAAAACAATCTTCCAGAACCGTCCTGAACCGTGGTTCCATATGAGTTTTCACGGGGGTATGTATACAATCAATTTAGAATAGTCATGGACGCTATCGATAGCGGTCACTTGATGTGATCATAGAGGTGCAAAAGGCAAAAGTACCGTTTCCCATGTACAAATGATAGTAACCTTTGAAACCAACCAAGGCAAACAACAACAACAACAACAACAACAACAGCAACAACAGCGGCAACAACAACACAACCACCACAACCACAACCACAACGACAACGACAACAACAACAACAACAACACTAACAACAACAACAACAACAAGAAGAAGAAGAAGAAAAAGAAGAAGAAGAACAATAACACATCAAATCTAATCCCAGAATCCTTCGGCATGCAACCAATAGCTCCCACAACATTCCGCAACACGGTGCACTTGTTCTCACTAGCACTGGGTACAGTGACCATGATGTAGCGCAACATTGACGTTAGCTCCGGGTCGTACCTCCACGAAAAAAGTTTGTACTCGGTATAATGCTCTTGATTAGTAAAAGTGGTTTATAATCTGGATAACCCTTAGTATAGCCCATATATATTCCACACACACGTATCCTGGGTTGTAAAAACCCATCATATTCCCGCTAAATTCCCTTAAATGATCTGGTTTCATCATGTTTCATCTCCCAATCAACCCAGCTTTTCTGGGTGTGTTTTTAGTGGCAGGGGAGCAGTTTATCAGTCACACTGGAGGATGGCGGATCAGGCCTCCGGAAGTGCGGATATGGTGAGAACACCCCGGGGCAAAGCCTCGAGCGAACATCGAATCCATGGCCCTGGCATGGCCCTGGCCGTCAATCATATTGGAGTAATCAAGAAAAACACAGGCGCAACACAGGAATAATGACAGCAATAATCATAACTAACCAAAACATGTCGTGTTTCTGCAGGGTTTCAAGACAGTACAGTGCTATGTAACAATGTAACATATATTGGAACCATTTTTTCGCGATGTCAGAACCCCTGTGCTTCCATACGTATCCAAAACTCTCCTTAATGTGCGCCCCTGGCCACAGCACAACAAACGTACCTCTCTTGAGTTCATTGAGGGCTTCAGGTTGCCCCAGTCGAGACCAAGAGACATGACGGCCTTCACTCCAAATCCCACCAGCAAGACATAGCAGAACAACCACACGGGCGTGGTCTGATTCCTAAGTGGCACCATTGATCAATGTAGATAACTGGAGACACAAAAGCTGCCTTTTTGGTCGGAGGTTGGGAGGCTACCAGGGGAAGGAATTGGGATATACATATATATATATACATACATATATATACTGTATATATATATAAATTCAAGTACGCCTCAACATTTGATGCTGGCTAGAACCCAACCAAACGTGGTTTGTGCGAATACCACCGACCTAGTGGTGATTTGATTGAATCCAGGTGCGCGAACCCTACATTCCGGATGATGTGAAATACTGTCGTGTGCCGATAGTTGTCATTTTTTGCCAGCCCTGTCTTCATGTCGCTTCAACTTCACAACTTCAGCGAAGCTTCTTTTCATATGCAACGTCTCCCAGAAGTGCAGACTGATGAATGAAACCATCCTGGGAGTTGAGCATAGCTGAGCGAACCCACAATCCCCAGTGCCAAACAAGGTTTCCTACAACGTCCTACAACTTGTAGTTTGAAAACACCCCAACGTGGCAACAGAAAATTCATCACGAGAAACGCAGCAAAGGGCATACTGAAGATTAAGAAAAACTGCCACCCAAGACTGTCGAAGAGCAAATGATGTGATTGAAATCGCGGTATTCCTCAAATTGCAGTTTTCTAAATACCTATATATATATATGTATATATATTTATGTGTGTGTGTGAAAATAAAGGTTGACCATAAAGTGCCACCGTTTCCCACCCAAAAAATGGCAGCATTTCCCCATAATTGATGGCACCCCAGGTGTTTTCCCATGTCCTCAGTGCAGTTGGTCATGGGCCGCTGGTCACTCTGGCACGCATAGGCACAACGCCCCGAGACCGCCACACAGCGATCGTTGAAGGGCGGAGGGGCGGCCTAGCACGGCAATCTATGGCAGGTATGAAGATCTATATCTATAGAGACGTGTGGGTGCACATAAATACACATACATTTGGCTTCTGATTCCTACTAGTTTATGTTAATATATATATATATCATCTATAACATATATTTAATTACATAATATAAATATATATAATGTTATATATATAATATGTATATATAATATATATATAATATATATATAATAATATTTCTGACCCTTCCCGTCTCCCTCTCTCTCCAAACTTTCCTCAACAGCAGCCGAAAAAACACCATCCATCCTCCACAGCTAGGTTCCAGCCCTGCCTGCTGACCAGGCTTGAAACGGCTGAAGCTTCCTTCATAGAGCGTGCTGTTCACCGCGCAGGCCACCAAATATAAGGGGCCCTGACAGCGTTTGCGTGTCCCCCCTCGGGACTAGAGTCTTTTCTGGGTGGGATTGAGGCCTTCATCCATTCCCGCGGGCATTAAAAAAAAGAAAACAAGGACCCCTGGAATTAGTTGAGTAAGTCTAGTATTATTTAGTATTGGATCTGTTGATGGAGAGTACGTTGAAGACAGGATCGGAAGGTTACCCTACCTCCTGTGTTTGGGTGGAATGGTTGAGGTTGAAACATCGCCCATCCTCCGAAAAGGGGATGGAATCTGATGGACCCCTGACAGCACCGCCGCCTGACGACCATAGCACCAGCCAGGATCAATCTCCAAGCGATTCTGCTGCGCCAACTTCATGCCATGTTTGCTGGCTGGATCCTGCAATGGTGGAATTTCCTCATCATAGTAGTCATTGGTCCTTGCAATCCACGTCGTGATAGCATGGCAGCCATGTCATGGGACCGACCCAACAAGATTATGTACTGCCTGAAGAGTACTTGGCCAAAATTATGGAAAAACAACTGCCAAACAGGAGAATGAATGAAGCACAGGCTTGAAAGGTGGTTGATGGTGGTTACAAAAACTTTGTGTTGGGCATACTGTTGGAGGTAGCTATACCAGGCAGTGGACATTTCGATACTCCCACCAGCTGCACAGCGAACAGGAGATAAATCGGAGATAAAGAAATGCCTGTGGCTCAAAGATGGAGTTTGAAAGCAACCCATCACTACTGTCATTCGAGTCATTCCTGACTTTGAACCATCCAACAATCGGGAGCCAAGCAGCTCGACTTTCTTTACGATCGGCTTCCCAGACTCATCCACAGGCTCTGGTGGTTGTCGCTTGCCATAGTTGTCTTTGTAAAGTTTCTGCCACATACCTTCAGATAGGGACCCCTGAAAACTAACATGGAACCCACTGGTGAAAGGCATGGATACCTCAAAATTGGATTTCATGAACAAATCACACATAGCCGGCATAGCCCTGTATAGCCAGGTTTGCTGAGGCTGAGGGGTGATTCCTACATCATTGATGTACAAGCAATTCGCTTCCTGGTGGCGTGATATACCATCTGGTTATTTAACATAGCCATGGAAAACCACCATTTCTAAATATTTCTAATAGGTAAACCATCTATTTCTATGGGCCATCTATACCATGGCTATGTTAGTCATAACCAGAGGGTTCTCATTGGTTCTTCAACCAGAGCAAACTGGCGACTCGCCATGCTTCGCCCCGCTTCGCCGTGATATCAAAAACAACACCGGTTCAGGAGCATGGGGACCATCTGGGGGTGTTCATTTAATCAGGCGGATGGGATGAATCATGATTAAGCATTAAACTCGGGAAATATCATGAAATAACACATTTATATATATATATATTTATCATTTATCTTGTTGATCATTATCAACCATTATCAACCATTCTCAACCATTATCATTATCGTCTCATATTGCCCAAGTTGCCACGCTTCGAACGAGAGGATTGCAGCAGGAACACCCGGGGCTGACTGAAGACGTCGGTCCCGGCAGGAGCCGTCGAGCCGCTGACTGAGACCCGGAAACGGGGAAGCGAGGTGTAAATCCTTAGCCAAAGGCCAGTGGTACCCAGTACCAACTGTTGGAAGCGAGTAGTTTAACCCCCAATTGAAGATAGAAAAGTTTCCATTAAATATTATATTATATTTATCTATTTAGTGAGATTTCACCAACTTCATTCCGCTAATTTTTGTGGTAGTTCTTAAGATAGTAGTTTATACTGTAGTAGTTTCATGATTTAATACTTCGTCTTATATTCTAACATATTCTAACACCGCAGAAAGTCCACCACTCAGTGATGTCAGCCGAAACCTTATGTAGTGGATTTCGACCAAAAAACACCCAAAGTCAGCAAAAAGTCAGGTGTACAGTGATCCCCCCCTTTTTTTTCCAAGTTTCATTGGTCCCTTGGTCTTGCCATCCGTCTGGGTCTCATCAAAGAGGCCACCAAGGCCACCGCCGAGGCCGCCACCTGTGCTGGAGCTGCTGGATTCCTCACCGCCGCCGAAGAGACCCCCAAGGCCGCCGGGCGGAGCGGGTAAACCTCGGAAGGAACGTGGCGAACGCCGTTCCGTGGCGAACGTGGCGAACTGGAAATCACCATGCCATGTGTTTTTTTCATAGCTCCATGGTGACTTTTTGGACCTAAGTCATCCTAAATCTAGTATGTGGGTACATGGGGGGTAAATGTAGGGAAATCCATTCATACATGGAGCATCTGGGCATGTTATTCATAATCATGGATAAATCATCAAAAAACATCGAACTAAATGGGCAATTCTATATACATATATTAGGAGCTATGTTAAAAAATCAAAGGGTACCATGTCATGCGAATGAACAAAAACAGCCATCTGAAATCTATTCTCTTGAATGTCAACGACATGATTCAAAATGGATCGAAATGGTCAAATTGGATGGGGATGATGTACATTGGGGGCTCAGAGTTCAGTAGTTTGGTGGGAAAATATCCAGACCACACCCTTCATCTGATGGTAAAAAATGGTCAAAACACCTTAATCTCCTGATAAACCAGTGTGTACGTGGGGAAAGCATGAAGCCATAGGAAACTCAGGGTGAATCAAAAGTGATTACCGGCTTTGACATTTGCCCGTCCAATCGCTGACCGAGATCCCGTGATTTTTTGGGAAAGCGTCGCAGTTTTCTGCCAAGTCAAGGCTTACAGTAAAGGCTTACAGTAAAGGATTACAGTAAAGGCTAGGAACCACCAATACCTTGAAGACGTCTTGTAGCGTTGATGCTGCGACTTTGGAGACGGCGCATGTCATCTTCCGTGCGATCGTCCCAGAGACAATTGTGGCACGTCCACTGCCTGGCCAGGAATGCCCATGAATCCAGTGCAGCCCCAAGGTTGTATCAAGCTTGAAAGCAAAAATCTGTCAATGCCAACATCACAAGATAATAACTGTCTGTGCATAATATATATATATATACGCACGTACGTATGTATGTATGCTGTATTTATGTGTGTGCATATGCTTTTCAATACACGTATACCTAGCGCAATGCAAAAAAAAAGTACAAATGGAAAAACACGGTTTTTGCCATTCGTGCATTCCATTGAGATTTGTTCCTTTTGCTTGAGAATTTGGCATACGGGCATTTGTTGGCATATTTTTGGAACTGACTGAGTTTCTGAGATAGAGAACGCTTGATGGGGAGTTAACATAGTTAACAAATGGAGGGAAAAATGCGCTGTTTTAACCTGAACTGTAGCAAACACATACAACACATGTTCCATGTCTCACGACTCTTGGATATGTTTGCTGGAATTTCCGCCAGAAATGTGCCGGAAATTCCCCGAATAGTACTGGAAGCTTCCAGAATTATTCAGCCACGACTTGTTTACGGTGTCTTAATGTTATTGTTCATCTTGAGAGCGAAAACGTTTTCATGTTTAGGTGCTCCACGCTTACTGCTGATTTTGCCTTAATTAATAGTGCTTCAGGATGTGAGCGCTAACAACAACAAACCTTTGATCTTTTTTTCAGGAAATGTTCCCTTTTTATCGTGTTTGTTACCTTTGTAATGTACCTGTTTGCAAATCTATATATCATATCATACATGCACATGTATCAGTATGTATATCATCATGTATATCATCATGTATATCATCATGTATCAAAATACTCATGGAGACTTTGTCGACATTTGTCGACTTTGATCCATCTGCACAACATATGACCCTCCAAACCTGAAGCTTTCCATGGACGTCTCGCAGTGCTCAGATTTCACATTGCTGACCTTAGCGGTGAGATCGACCGGGAACCGAGCTGACTAGCTGGCATCGGCTGGCATCGGCTGGCATCATTGAGCCACATCGATAGAAGAAACAAACGTCCAGGATGTTGTGGATGACAGTTACCCCACAGTTTGCAGGTGTCCAACTATTCTATCTGTTTGCTTCTTCTCGAGCTAAGGGGTATAAGCATATATATATATATAATTACACACATATGTAAACAAACAAAGAAAGACACAAACAAACAAATAAACATACATACATACATGCATGCATGCATGCATGCATGCATGCATGCATCCATCCATCCATACATGCATGCATCCATCCATACATACATGCAGCCATCCATACATCCATACATCCATCCACACGCGCACGCGCACACACACACACGTATATATATATATATATACGTGTGTGTGTGTGCGCGTGCGCGTGCGCGTGCGCGTGCGCGTGTGCGTGTGTCCCTCTGTTTTCATCAACTAAGCGGGAAAAGGCATCTCACAAGGAAGGCGTCTACAACCAAATCTTGCGATCCATCAGGTGAATTTCCTCTTGATGTACTGTAAATCGTCCGATTGTGATAATTGTGCAAGCCAATTGCTTTGTTGCAGTTGCCCTGCAGGTTTTTTTCAGCATCACCTTCAGGGAGGAGCTCACTAAGAAAAACTCTTGCCTCAAAGCATCCTCAACATAAGG